TATATTTCCTAGTAAAATACATGGGGAATGCCATTGGGGAAAATTCCACTTAGGGTAAGGTTTTCGCTTTAATTTTAAATTTACCGCTCACAGCTCGATGTTTTCGTCGCGCTGTGATGACGTCACGTATGCGCTTTCGTCGAGCACGCTTTTGTCTACCGCGGTTTTGTGGTGGAACCGAATTGGCAGCGTGAAAATGGCAATGCGAAAATCTTGGGCCTATGCGAGGCACGCTGGGTAGCAACCAAGGCAGAATGGATGATTCTTAAAAAATGGCTTGCTTTCTAGTCATGTAAAATGCTTTGGCCTAGACCCCGTTTCATTAGGAAAAAAGCCAAATCTCGAGAGAACGAAATTAATTTCTATTTTGGCTAAGATTTATACAAGAGTTAATATAATTCTGTTAGGCTTCTTGAATCTGTAGAAAAGGTACTTGTGGCATAATTATGCTAAAGAACTGAAAAACAAGCCAGCCAGTGTATCACATTAATATAAAAGAGGAAATGTTTAAGTGATGTTTAACATTTCTGTCATAATTAGTAGGATTTGAAACTGTTGCACATTCTTGCACATTTCACTTTATATTTTAAACAAGCCTAAAGTGGCTTTGTCTTAGAATTACTTCTCTCTGATGCTTAGTGTGCATCCTTGCAGGTAATCTTAAAAATGCATTAAAAATAAATTATCCAACTCCCTTATTCATTCCAGTTTCTTTTATTGTGTGTGTGCGCGTTTTAATTGATGCTATATTCTGCCATGGAATGGCTGTTTCCATTTCCTTTTATAACATAGTTGATAATATTATTCTAATGCCTTGCAAAATGCAAATCTATCCACATCTGGATTCCCATTCGGGCACCTAGAGACAACTAGGGGCCTATGAATACTTGTCTTGTTACCCACTAGGCGCTTGATGGTGAACCCATGGCACGCTTGTCCACAGGTGGCACATGGAGCCATATTTGCCCATGCGGCAGTCCTCAGTTGTGGGGTACGACCAAGCAAGGCACCATCCTTAAACAAAATCTTTATTCCCAGCAATGAATAATGAAACCCACCTAGGCTATATAGCAGTAACTGTGAGAGGGATCCTGGAATCTTAGTGGATAACCAATTAAATATGAGCCAACAGTCTTCTGCAGCAGCCAAAAAGGGATACAATCAAGATCAAGTGAGGTACTAATCAGTGGTGGGTTGCAAATATTGTTACTACTGGTTTAGGTGCACTCCTGCGCATGCTTGCACATGCATGCAACACTTCTACGCATGTGCAGAACAGTCCCACCACTGCTACTACCGGTTCGGCCGAACCAGGAGTAACCCACCACTGGTACTAATATCACTCTATAAAGCCTTAGTAAAACCACACATAGAATACTGCATACACTTTGGGTCATAAAAAAGCAGTGTTCCAATATTTGAGGGGCTGCCACAGAGAAGAAGGGGTGAAGCTATTTTCCAAGGCACCCAAAGGCCAGACAAGGAATAATGGATGGAAACTAATCAAGGAGAGAGTCAACCTAGAAATAAGGAGGAACTTTTCTGACAGTGAGAACAATCAACCCATGGAACAGAAGTTGCTTTCTTCAGAAGTTGTGGGAGCTTCATCACTGGAGGCTTTCAAGAAGAGATTGGACTGCCATTTGTCAGAAATGGTGTAGGGCCATGATGGCGAATCTATGGCACACGTGCCCAAAATGGCACGAGGAGCCATGTCACCTGGCACATGCGGCATTGCCCATTCCTCTTCTGGATTTCTGGCGCACATGCATGTGTGATGATCAGCTGGCCTTTGTGAATATGGCAGTGCCAGAAAGTGGAAGAGCTGATCTTCTATTTCCCAGCATTTTCCAGCTGAACGTTGCATGCGCATTCGTGCCAGTAACTGGAAGACTAGCTGCCTGGCGCGCATGCCCGTGCCAGAAACTGGAAGTTCATTTTCTGGTGCACACATGCCCCCTAAGCAGCTCCTCTTCCGGGTTTTGGACCTGATGAGTGCGATTGTGCGTGCTCCCTTTTCAGCACTTGGGGCCAAAAAGATTCGCCATCACCG